GTCTTAAAGGATATTCAAAGGACGTTTATATCATAAGGACGTCTTCAAGATGTCGCTCGGAGAACTGTATTCTATGGAATCTTTTTAATAAAAATGAAATATTATTTTAATTTCACTTCTTTTTTTATGCCATTTTTTACATTTTTAATGTTTTTGATTTTTTGATTTTTTTTTCTGCAAAATTCGATAATATAACGTCTTTTTTTAATGTTTGTGTTATATGAAAATGTTTGTGTTATATGAAATATATAATTGTGATATTGTGTATGAATGCGTGCCCAGCGCGCATATTAGACGGAGCATGTATTTTTATTTATTTGTATTTTTATTTAAAACAATTTTTGCAATACAAGTGTATTTTGTATTTCAACAGAGCACATGAAAGTATTGCGTATTTTTTTGTATTTAAAATCGAAAAATCGAAAATTTTATGTATTTTGTAATTCAAATTATTTCAAATAATAAGATTAATTATCAATCTTAGTATTTAAAATATAAAATATAATTTTTTTACAAATACTGTTTTTAATAAGAGTATTTCTAATACATGTCCAAAGCAGATATTAACAAAAATATGAATTAAGTCTATCTCAGATTGAATGGAATATAAGATATATAAAATAGAAGGAAATCATTACATTCGTAAGAAAAAGCATTACTTGCAATTTAGAATAGTAAAGAGATGTATGCACGTTAATGAATGGGCAAATGGATTATACTATTCGCCTATCGGACGAATAAAAAGCCATAAAAATCAATGTTGTATAACATTCTCATATCATGCCCATACGGCGCATAGGTGGCACTGTTTATGTAGCCTCCGTCACGCCGCTGCAACGCGAGAGAAGGTAAATTTATGCGCCATACGTACACGAGACCGGCTGTAATGTAAACCGATCGGAGCTTCCCGTATTTTCGCTTTAAAAGGCACGAAGTCGCGGATGGTGAGCATATTTTGAAACCCGATGTAGCGCGAAGCATTAATACGAGATGAAGCTACACACTTCGCGATGTAAGTACGTACACCAGGTGTCACAAATGCCTTAACACGCGGAGTTTCATCAATTTTTGGTATATTCGGAGTATCGTGTTAGGACCGATGCGTCATAGTTGGTTAGTTATTCGGAGAAAATGGCATTATTGCAAAACAGCTGGATCTGGCAATCCGACGACTTTATGCTCGATATTATCATTAACGTAAATTAAAAGAGATAAGTCAGTTATAACGCTTTTTTATAAAATTAATTAAACGATAATTGAATTTAATTCAATGCTTATTTAATTTAAGACTAATTTCGAATTTAAATTAGTTCCAATTTAATGCCTATATTTATACATTATGCAAAATTGCAAAGTTGTATTTGTAGTATTGGAATAACTGTCAAATTATATGAAGTTATATCAAGATCAATAATTGTTAATAAATATATTTTTCAAGAAAAAAACAGAATTGAGACATATGCAATTCGCTTGAATTGTATACATATGTCAACATAATTAATTAGATAATTAAAATTACAAATATTACAGATTATTATTAATCTCTATAAGATTGCAATTTATTAAAATATATGTTACATATTTACGTTAATTTGCTGACTTTAAATATTCTGTTTAAAACATTTTTATTCCTAAAAATAGATACACGTTATGTTCTTGCATTATTTTGATAAAAACCTTACTCTAAAAAAAAAAAGGGGGATGTGTCTCTAAAATCTTAGCATTTAAGCTAGCTTATACAGCAGAAGAATTATGCAACTCGTAATGATTCAGTGCATTTACAAATAATGAAGTACACCGCAGTATTGATGTGATACGCGCCGTGTTTACCATGTACATTATCCGACATATAGGACGAGAACAGAGCTTAGAATCAATATGCATGAATCAACGTTGTCTCGTTATATCCCGTCTACATTACTGTACATAGGAATATACATATTTAACAGATTATTTTAATCGAAACTTCGTTATATGTAAACGTTACGATTAATTATTTTGGAATAATGGTGCTTTAGGAAAGAAATATTGTATGAGACGATCATATCATTATTATAAGAAGATTGCTGAAATTCATTGACTTAAATTTATCTAATGATAATAATAATTATAGTTCAGATTTATCTAAAAATAAATATATTTATTAATAAGTTTGTAACAAAGTTATAGTTATAGTTATATATATAGTTAAATTTATCGATATTTTGAACGCGTATATACTTACAAACTGATTCGATATAATTGAAAAGCAGATTTATTGGGTTGTCCGGAAAGTTCGTGCCGCAAAAAAAAATATTTAAATTTAATAAATGAAATTAAAAATTTAAATCTTCTGCGTTTCAATTTTCCTTCAAAATCGACACGAACTTTCCGGACAACCCAATACACTGTTATTTTTATGCAACGTTCCAGGCTTTCTACAACCACTGAAAGATTTATCTTTGAAAATTCCAATGAACAAAGGAACGTGCAAAATTACGTTCTGTTTAAGAACGTTTTATCTGCCTCCCCAAGCATTTTGCACTACGATTTGAACGCTGCCGGAAAATTATGCAGCATGCAACGATCCAGTGCACATACATACTTCGTCTTGGCGGTCTGGCAAGCTGCGCATAAATCCGATTGCCTTATCGTATTTTCGGCTGCTAAGAAACAGGGACGGCTACAACATGGTAAAGTGGCGGGCACTGACAAACGGCTTGTCAGATCCAGACGACACCATCCTTCTATCGCTTTTACACTGAGAGCAATACCCAGGCGATTCGCACAGTTAATAGGCATTGCAAAATCGGCAGGTTTCTGCCTCGCCATTCTATCCGCGGTGGTTTCTTGCAAAAAAGAAAACATTAGAAATCGAGCGCTACAATTTAGGCACGAAATGAATGCATTAGTAAATAATCGAGCATTACGGACAGATAATTGTAGTCAACAAATACATAAGATTAATTTTGTTATCTGTATATTTTAAATATTTCTTTTTAATTTATTAGTTTCAATTGTGTGTGTTTTCTAATTATATTTAAAATATTAATTCTAATTGTAAGTATTCATTAGTCTTTCGTCTGTAATCTTTTTTGCCCAGTTCAAGTTATTTTAAGTTCAAATAAAATTCAAAGTTACTTTTCACATTTTTATTATATTACCAAATAGTTTTTAACCTTAAGGGAATCGTAAAGCAATGCTCGAACTCCGACGAAATCACCAGAGATCACGCCACACATCGACATGTCCTTTTATACCACAACAATATCTCATGCAACCTGTGATACACATACACGTATGTGTCAATTTTCATATAAGAAATTCGTTGCGATAAAGCGTTTAAGTCTAATTCTAAGAATTCAACGTTGTTTGTTCATGTAAACTACGTGTCTGGATATTACTATTTCGTACGTACAGGTTGCAAAACTTTCATATCAAGCAAATGTCATGACTTGATAGTTAAGATGCCATACACTAAGAAATGGTAAAAAATATATCAATTTCGAAATTTTTGATCGTTCTCGGCATAGACTCCACTATCCAAACACATATATATAAATGCGTATACTTTAATCCTGGAAAAGGATTTTCGAATCGGTGAAAGAGAAAAAAAAAATTTCTTATACAAAAATTACATGTGCTTATGTGATAAAAGGAAGCTTTAGGATCACATTAAACATAAAAATCTTTATTTAATAAAAATTAAAATTTGAACAAAATGAGAATGAAAAAATAGAATTTCGCTTATGTAAAAAAAAAACTTAGATTGCAAACGGAGGGTTAAAAGAATAACAACAAGACTAAAAAATCGTCACGCGGTGTGACATTGTCTTATGATAAAATTCATAAAATTTCTAACAATCTTTCAAATATTTCAAGTCAAACAATATCTACGAATGTGTGCAAATTGCTGTCCAAGAACTTTGTTTATGAAAGATCGACGAGTGGCGCGAAAGATTCTCGCAATGTTGCTCGCCCGGATAATGAAGGAATAACTCGAGAAAATGGTGGCGTGGAAACGTAGTTTTACGATAAGTGTCTCGTTATTTATGGGCGAACATAAAGATTAAACGAAGAAGAAATCCTCGCAGCAAAGGATGGAAAATAATAAAACATTTTTACGTGGCACAAGAGAGTCACAATAACGCCTGAATCTGTTTTCACGTAGATAACGGAATAATTCGCAACAGTAATTCGGATAAGACGAGAAATCGTCCGATTCCGACTTCTATCATGGGGGAATTGAACGGCTGATCGGAAATTCACAAAGTTCCATCATGAAGATTACGGCAATTTCGTACACAGTCACGATCCTTTGATACGAACTTATAATTTCGGATTCCGGGAAAGTTGTAGGTAAAATTTCACGCGAGATCCCACGCGACTTCGTGTTCTTCCCTCCTCAATTTTGTTTTCGAAGAAGGATTCTTTTGCACACGCGGAATGCAGAAGCCATCTAAATTATTTTGCTCACGCTCACGTGTAATTAAACAGCTGAAATAATAAAATCAAAATCTAGATTACAATTAGGAGTATTCAAATAGTTATGTCACCCTTAAATGTCTTTTCAGTATGGCATATCTACCTTTTCTGTTTTCGATGTTTTTCCAATGAGTTTTTTTTTTATTATTTATATCTTTTTTATTAATAAATATGCATATATACATTGCTTGAGGTTATTATGTCCCTTAATGTCGAATATTTGATTGAAAAAAAATTTTGTTTACAATATGTTCATTTTTATAAAAATTATAAGCAATCGAATTGAATGGGTATGCTATACCGCAGTGTAACGTTTAAGGATTAATAAAATAGTTTCAAATTATATTTGATTATCTCTTTTACCTCTTTCTAACATACATATTATCGAATGCATCAAGCTGTATAATTAGAATGTCTTAATATATTCAGGATTTGCTTTGTGTCTTTAGTGTAACGAGAATTTCACAAGAGCATTAAATTTGTTTGTTTGAAGCTAAATTAATTTTAGAAATAATGGTAAATAAATAATCTTTCAGTATCGCCTAAACTACAAGATAAACTCTTTACCTTACACGACGATCTTCGCGCAAGCGGCAGGCTTTAAGGTGACATGGGAACTACCGACCACTGGTGAGCTTCGGAATGTCCGGTCTGTCCCAGATGTCCATAAATGCGCCGAACTTGTATACGAAAGGTAATAAATACTGCAATAGTTGTGCTGCATAATGTAAAAACAGCAACGATCGCGAGGAGACTGGAAACACGGTGGCGGAATGTCGGAGAGTAAATGTAGAAGATAGGAAGGGGATGGTTTAGAGTCGGTCGGGTTGTTGGAACTAAAATGATGCGAATGGATTTCTGGCTGGCTCACCGAAGTCTTTCGCTATCACTAAGATCGAATAGCGAGCGATGCAATATCACCGACACACCAACTCCCACAATTTTTTACCACAATTTCGTGAACCACGGTTTTTTCAGTTTTTTTTAAATTGAAATCGATTTATGCATGCAGATTCATTTAACGTAACTTTTGAGCAATAAAGATAATTAAGATAATTAAAGATGTTGGAATAAATGCAACTTCACTACTATTTTCAATAGTATTCTTAATTATTAACAATAAGTTAAATTCCTATATAATTATAATTTCTTAATTATTTTATTTTTTATTTAAACGATTTTGTGACAATTATTAAGCTTCTTTTTAATTCATTAAATTATTATTTTTCTTAAATATTAAGAAATGTAAAAGAAATAATGTTTGTCTTGGTATTATATTAATTGTATAATTTTAATTTAAAGTTTTTTATCCCAATAATTTTATTTGTACTTATTAAATTTATCAATTTGATAAATATTTCAGTCATGGTTTCGATGGCCGTTCTTGCTTACTAAAGAATATCTGCCAGAGCCTACAATACGTGAGGTGGAAGGATGGTGTTATAGGGAAGATATTGAAATTGCTTGCGGAGTGAGTACCGAAATATTAATATCAGTTACATACTAGTGTGTTAATCGCCGTTGCTTTTAGGTCGTATATTAATAATGGCACTTGGTACGAAGATCCACTGTTCTGTGAGCATCATACTATGAATTGCCCTTTGCAATTAGTCGGCTTTAATAGTTTTATGGAGAGCTAGCACTAAAGTATCTTTGTTAGAGAGCAAGTTAATGAATAATTTCTTGTTTATTTGAAACAAAACATGCATCAAATGTATAGCATAATGTCGCTACGATTAATAAAAATAATAATTCTTACAAATTATAATTCTATTTGTATTATTAATTAATAAAGAAACCGGACTACTTTTTCGACATGGCAAAAAGATTAATTTATTTAAAATGTTGAAATGTTGCTAATAATGATGTTATAAATAAATGTAGAATAGAGCAATTGCTTGAAATGAATTCTTGAAAATGAATAAAGTAAAAATACAGTTATATTCAGGGGTAATATGAGAAACGTCATGTTAACGTTTAAAAGTTAGTAATTTTCGTAGCAGATTCCACTTTTCATATTGAAATAAGTCGGACGTCACAAAAACGCTCATATATGTATCTCCTACGCGCGATTGTTCCTACAGTTATCAGATGACATTATGAGAAATGACAGCGGTTAATGAAACATTTGTCATGTAGCAAAATTGCACGCGAATTATTCCGGCAAACCGAATACGGTAAGTAGTAGTAAAATATAGTGATATGTCAACCGACGAAAATGTAATAAAAATATACGTTTAGTTAAAAGACCAAGAAAGAGAATGGTCGAAAAAGGATGAAACGTATATTTAAAAAATGAATAAAAGGATATTTCTGGCATGTACTCGGTGCTATTAATTTGTCTTGGTAATAGTTATTGCCAAAAAAAAAAATTTTTCGTTTGTGCATTATTCCTTTTTTTCTCTCGTATCATTTATTTCCGCTTGTCATATTCTATGACAGGACTATTATAATTGCTATTCACGAGCCGTGTTGGTCCAGTTTCAACGAAAAGCATTAATTTGGACTATCGCACAACTATCTGGCAATTAAAAAAATGCTCCACTTTGCATCCACCATTTGCCAGCACTAACTCATATTATTCAAAAGTCATGCTACAATCATCGTCGTTGTAATTACGCTAATGGGCCAAACTCGCAAACGGTATCTTTGATTACGGTATTCTTTGATGCGATAGAAATTTTACATATTTATGCATGTAATAATAAGAATTTAGAAGAAAGAATTTCTTCTTTTAATGAATCGGAAATTAATTACTTTTTAAGTTTTTGCTTCCTATTTTATTATATAAATACTCAATAAGGTAATTCTTAATTGATATCCTGATTTAATGTATGACTCCGATATTGCTTTATTAAACTTGTTCTATATAATTACGCAAAAAAATATTTCGTTTAAAAATCGTTCTTTTGTGTCGCATTGCTTTTATGAAATTGTGTGGTAACAAGGAGAGACTTCTCTATAAATGCATATTTTTAATTGCGGTGCATTGTTGTCCCATGATAGGTTTCATGACACAGTCTATTTCATTATAAACGAATATGGTGTTGTAATAAGATCGTTTTATTAGCACGTAAATGAATTCGCAATGTGATTATTTCGAGTTTCGCTCATGGTAGGAAGTTGCAGTGAAATAAGTCAAAGTGGGTCTGTCGGCGCAAGTTATATAATAACGATCGAGAATATGAAATGTTAATTTCGTGTACCAGTGCTAATTTCAGGCTAGCTGATACTTTTTATACAGCAAGGAATTCTTCAGTTTACTTTTTCCTCATAATTATTTTTGGGGACATAATTATTTTTATTTTTGTGAACATTAATGAAAATAATCGAATGATACAGGTAATAGAAACATCAAAATGGAACATTGAAACTTTTATTATAAATCAATCAAGTACTTAAAGCATAATTGATATAATTCCTCTGGGTATGTATATTTCTATTTATTCGTCTAAGAATGGCAACTTTCTTAATCAAATTCTTTTTTTCGCAACGATAACTGTGGAAACTTGTTTGAATTGCAGAGGAAAAGAGGATTTCGAGAATACTCCTACAAACGAAAAACAAAGAAAGAGGAAAAACTGAGAAAGATTACGACAAATAATGTTAACATTACGGAATGAGCTTGCATGCTGAGATAAAATATCCATTGAGAGTATTATTGATGATATGTTGGGAATCGATAAGAGGGAGGCGACAAAGGAATTTCTTCTCTCTCTCCCGTGGCAATTTGCATGCTACAATCACGATAACTTGCATTACAATTATGTAATTATGATTAAATCGAGCGTTATGCGCTTTACTTAGCATAGTAGAAGAAGCATATAGAAGAAATCAAGACTGGTTGTCGTATGGGATTGATTGTCAAGATGCTCATAACTCAAATAGAACATAGCAGAAAAATTTTTTTCTTTTAAAGTACGATTGCTGATATAATATTAATTTATTGTGTAAAATGATTTGCATTGAGAAGCATGGCATTGTATATATTATTTATAATGATTTTTAAGAAAATTAAGTGAGCAAATTTTTCTTATCACCTATTTTATTGTCTAACAAGTCTTTATTATTAATCACGATATCCCTGTAATCAGAACAAAATTACATGCTTAGAAAATCTTTGTTACAATTAAAAAATTAATTATCTTGACTTATGAATATAATTTTTTTTTTTTTTAAATGGATGTGTGGGATAAATTGACCAAAATGAGACGAGATTAGATGACAATTAATTTTAATATTTTTAAAGAACACATTTTTAGAAAATATACTTAAAAATATATTATATTTTATATAGATATAAGGATATAGATATATATCAAAAGTTTGAAAACGGTCGAATATTTCGAAAGCATTTTTAGGAAAAATGTTTCAAACAAAAATTATAGGAGTTGAAAAATTGAATTTCTATTCACTAATCACATCCGGTTGACTTTGGGTGGCGTCGTCAAAGTCAAGTTAAGATCAAATCAAGTTTTAAAAATAAATCATATTTTTTATGGCAGAATCTAATAGCTGATGTCAGAAGCTTTTCAAAACACTATAATAAAGTTATTTTTCATTATTTTTCGAATTATAAGTAGCTTGAAAATTACAATACCGGGCAGCTAAAATCTCTTGAATATTGTTCAGAATCATATTCTGAAGAACATTTGTCAAGAACAAGGTCACTTTCTTGACAAAAAGGATTATTCTTCTTATTTTCATTTTTGCACTAAGAATTCGTTTTTACGTTTTTTTTAATTCGTTAAAATGAAAATAAAAATAAAAAGTGTAACCTCCAATGGCTTTGGTCTCGATAATCCAAGAGTGCTTTCAAGTCTTATAATTCAAAAAGTATATACTTAATGAAAAATGGCTTACAGTGTTTTGAAAAGCTTTGACCAGCTATCGAGCTATCTGGCATCAAAAATTAGATTCTATTAAAAAAAATTGATTTGACCTTAACCTGATTTTGGCAAGGTAATCCAAGATGTTATCAGATCTTTTTAAGGGCATCCTAAAGTAAATTTGGTTTATCAATTTTTCCGAATAAGTATTTTTCTAACTGCCCTTACAGATTAAAAAATCCTTCTCCATAATTAAAGTATAAATTAAAGTAGAAATGATAATATAGTCCAAATCAATTGACTTTATTCCAAAAACAAAAAAAAAGTTGAATCGACTTTTAATGTCATAATAATGTTTGCTTTATATATGAGTTTTATACTTCATACGTATGAAATAATCTTGATTTAGAATAGAGATTACATGAACAATCAATGTTGAGTACTTACAATTAGAATTTTGTTTAGGTACTTAATACGAAAGATTAGTTAGTTAGAAAGTTTGTATGTGAGAGTACTATATTGATGCATAGTATATAAAGATGTCGTATTTTATCGGTAAAATAGCGATCTCATCGGATTTCACTTTAGGATCTCCTATTTACCGTATTTATTTAAATTAAATAAATCCTATTTGGAACATGTTCTGATTTACGCTACTTTTAATAACATGTCAAGGTCATCGGAGCTGCTTCCCCTATTCGATGTATTAGCCCAAAAATTAATTTTGCAAATAATTGTTATAAACAAGTAAATAAAAGTTAATTGTAGAGAAAAATTAATTACGCCAATCAATTCCGGAATAATTAATTACTAAAGAAGCATGTAAAACTTTTACTTAAATCGTTTATTTGTTATATTTATCCATAAAGATTTGAATTTACATTTTATATACCCTTATGGAAAAAAACTATTAAGATTCAATAGTTACTATTGGTGTTTCAATAGTTACTATTGAGACTCTAATAGTTACTTGAAGGTGCCGGAATCAGAACGACGGAACGGATTTCTTACTAGAAAATTTAAGATACAATACTACTCAATTCCGTTCCGTAAGAACTTTCTCTACCCATCCCATGTAGCCGGAACGGAATGAAAACGGAACGGAATGTAATATCGATCGCAAGTTAATTTGTTTGATTTAATTGATACTTCGTAATTTTAATACGACTATATTAAAATAGTAATATGCATAACTTGTGCAATTATTTTACTTATAACATTACTTTGAATATTCAAAAATACTGAATTATAAGGTAAGATGTATTTTTTTACCAAAATTCCATTACATTCCACATTACGGCCACATGGGACGGGTAGAGAAAATTTTTACTGAACAGAATGACATGTTTAGCTGAGTTAGTTATACCTAAATATTGAAACAAATATTCAGAAACTTTTTTTGTAAATCTACAACGATGGATGAAGAAATAGTGTTATTAATAATATTAAAATTATTGCGAAAAGCAAGAAATGTTCCAAGTTGGCGTGCTATTCCAATATTTAAGAGTGTACGAAAATTTTATTTTGCTTATAATTTTTATGCAACAACAGAAATATACAAAAAACAAAAATTCTGGATACAGTCATGTTTATACAAAGAATGAAGCGTCTCGAAGTGACAATTTTTTTTTCCTGAAATGCAAACGATCAATCATGAGAAGTTCTTCAATTACTTCAGAATGCCATGGAATTATTTAAAGAATTGGCATTATAGTTAGATTATGTATATATGTAAAACAAGAATATGTTGAATTCTTATTAAAAAATAAGAATTATTAATTTTCTTTTCCAAAGTTATCAAATTCTCAACT